ACTATCCAGGGCAAGGCAGGGCCCCTTTCATTGGGAGTTTAACACTGGAGAAGCCAGGTGAGCAGCTTTTATCATTAAGCCCTGCTTTGCCCAACATCACAATCATTGCGCAGAGGCCACTGGGGGATCGCCTGTAAAATGATTTCAATGTAAGCTACTACTATACTGCTTCTGCTTCTGCTTCTGCTACCCTTACTACTACTACGACTACAACCTTTACTATTACTTCTACTACTACGACTACTACCTTTATTTCTACTACTGCTACGACTACAACCTTGACTACTACTACTACTACTACTACTACTACTACTACTACTACTACTACTACTACTACTAGTACTACTTCTACTACTACTATTCCTGCTGCTGCTGCTACTACTCACTACTACCACATACATCATTCTGAGTCTGTAATCAGTGCCGTTTTGCACCTAGCCGAATCATACCCGCGAATCATACCCGGACAATGAGCTTCCCCTGCCAAGGCTAGTGCTAAGTCTTTTTTCACAGCGTCCGCACCACTACAGCCGCTGCTGCTTATGCTACAGCTGCTACCACTACTTCTGCAACTGCTACTACTACTACTACCACTACTACTGCTACTACTACTACTACCACAGCTACTACGAGCTTGTAATCAGTGCCGTTTTGCACCTAGCCGAATCATACCCGCGAATCATACCCGAATCATACCCGAATCATACCCGCGCAATGAACTTGCCTTGCCAAGGCCAGCGCCAAGTCTTTTCAAAGCTTCCGCGCCACTACGTCGCTGCTTCTACTGTTACTACGACTACCACTACTACTACTACTACTACTACTACTACTACCACTACTACTACTACTACTACTACCACGACTACTAGTACTGCTACTACTACTACTACTACTACTAGGACTACTGCTACTACTATTTACTACTACTACTACTACTACTGCTACTACTACTACTACTTCTACAACAACAACTACTACTACTACTAACTACTACTACTACTACTACTACTACTACTACTACTACTACTACTACTACTACTACTACTACTACTACTACTACTACTACTACTACTACTACTACTACTACTAGTATTGTTACTACTACTACTACTATTGTTACTACTACAATATTACTACTAGTACTACCACTTCGGCGACTACTGCTACTACTACTACTGCTGCTGCTGCTTCCGCCCCGAGTCATACCCCCGAATCATACCCCGAATCATACCCGCGAATCATACCTGCGAATCATACCCCGTACTCAAACCTTCCTGCCCGGCCACCCTAAAAAATACAAACCCATGTGTGTTTGTGTTGGAGGAAGCTCCATTTGTTTGGTTTTAAACGCAGACCCGAGGTCCGAGACCGGGCAAGCGATGCCATTTTGGGGGTCCTCTACTTTCGAGGGAAACAACTTTTGTGTTTTGGGTCGTGTGGTGACATTCGGATTCCAGGTGACGTGGGGTCATCCGCTGTACGGCGGCGACAGCCGGGCGGCCCAATGCCAGCTGGTCCAGGTGCAGCACGTGCACGCGGCTGAGACTGCCTTTGCGGCCATCCGCGAGGACGTGTGGATTGCTGTATGGCCGTGGGTCAACACCGATGGTACCATTTCGGGGTAGGCATTTTAGTCCATTTTAGTGGAGATGGGATGTTCACTGGGGGTTCCGGGTGTTGACCCATAGCCGTATGATTTGACAGCACGACATGTCACACGGATAGCCCCAGGATGGATCCGTGGTCACCTGGGGCCATCCGGAGTACGGAGGCGTCAGCAACGCAGTCCAACCTCTCAGTGGCTCGGATGGCTCGGCATGTTTTGCGTCTCTCATGGGGGAAACCATCCAAATATCCACCAGGGTGAAAGCAGATGGCGCAAAGCAGATGGCGCAGCTTGTTTTCTATGGCAACTCAAGGGAATGATGAAGCCCAAATGGGGGAATTGTGCCATCTATGGGAAGGAAAGAGCGTTTAATTCTTTGTGGTGGAAACTGTGTTGCCCAAGCTCAATTTCATGTTGTGATGCGGGAGGTGTTACCTACAGATTACATCTTTTGCTCCTTGTCACTGCCATTGCTGATGTCAGCATGACTGGTGCCGCCGCTGCCGCTGCCGCTGCTGGTTTTGCGTGTATGTGTGTGTGTGGGTGTGTCGCTGAGAGTTGCTGGCCCATGCCACGCAAAGTACATCAAAGTTGTACATGTTCCTAGTAACACGTAGGGAAGAGCAACAGCGAAGGGCAAATGGCTTTGCCACCGATCTCACAGCGAAGGGCAAATGGCGTTGCAACACCCATTCTCAAGAGCTATCAAGTGCCCGCAAACTCCTACTTAAAGGCGGGTACAGGTAAGTGGTTACTAAGCCTGGTTACAACCGACATAGACGACTTATACACGTGGCTTTGGTGGGTTACAACCATGCTTATTATCCACTTACCAAGTACCCGATCGCCCCTGTAAGTATTTTAGCCATCAAGGGCCATCAAGCTCCAGCCACCAAGTGCCATCGAACTCTCTATCTTTCTCCTTGGTGGCTCGCCGCCATCCCCTTACCTTTTTAGCCTTTTAGTGTTTAGTGGTAGTTTCCATTTAAACCACTAAAAGTTAGCTTTTAGCGGGGGATCTGAGGGCAGCCCAGTCTCCTTTTCCAACTTGAAATCGGCCAAGTGCCATCAAACTCCCAAACTCCAGCCATCAAGTGCCATCAAACTCCAGCCACGAACCACCAAACTCCAGCCACCAAGTTCCATCAAACTTGAGCCACCTGCCATCTAACTCTGGATCTTTCCCCTCCCACCTTGAAATCGGCCAACTTGAATTTTCGCCAAGGACAGTGCCAAACTCCCAAACTCCAGCCACCAAGTGCCATCAAACTCTCTATCCGTCTCCTTTTCCACCTTGAAATCGGCCAAGGACAGGTGCAGCAAGTCCACGCCTCCCTGGGGGCCTTTGTGGCCGTCACGGCCAGTGGCTCTGTGGCCACCTGGGGGCATCCGGCCTATGGGGGCGACAGCAGCGCGGTGTCCTGCCAAAGCTGCTGCCAGTGGCTGAAATGGCCGTTTTTTGGTTCATACTGTGGATGGTTGCGAAATCCAATTCGCACCGTTCAGAATCCCTGGTGTCGGATTTGATTCCCCTGAAAATACCAACAAACAATGGTGGCAACCATGGTTTCACCGTGCGAATTGGATTTCGTCCATCCACAGTATCTCACTTCGCCTTCCTCAAGGGAAACCAAAAGCACCGCCTTTTTTTATTAGCCCTATCCCTTGAGATGACCCCATGTGGCCATGGGTGATAATCTATGCCTCCATTGTGGGACGCATGAACACCCATGTACCACCTATTTTGACGTTCACCAGGGGTACAGGGTTTTGACCCGCAGCCAAGTCAATAGTTTTCTTCACTGTTCTTGGCATGTTTTTTTGTTTTTTTTTTGTTTGTTTCGTGGTTCTGTTCATCTTTACTCGCGGTTTTGAATTTTCCCCTGGTTTTAACGGAGACTTTAAGCCAATGGATGGTTGGGCTAGCGCCGGGGGGCTGGGGGGCCCAGGGGGGGGGGAAGAGGACTCCGAGTCCAATTTTGTAGGGTCTCTTGTGTGGTTTTGGGAAGTTGCTCAAACAGAATGCCCAACTTTTGCCAGGATTAATAGATCCTGGATTGCCATGTGGAACGATAAAGTGAGAGCATCTAAAACTTGGGGCTGTGCATGTTCAGTGCAGGCTGTCAAGTCGAGGTTGAGGTCACACTTTGTTTTGCCATACCTTGAATTGTGAGCTTCAGATTCTGAGATTCAGCAAGATCGCTTGCGAGGGTCCACACATGTGCAGTGTTTGTTCGGCCCGTAGATGCTCTAAAGGCATGTAGGAGGAACCCTGCAATGGAAGCCAATTTCTTACGGGCCCAAAGCCCCGAAGGTTTGTGGTAGCTTGTGCAGGTTTTTGGTTGGCATCTCAATCCAGAATTTGCGGGCGCCCGGAGGCCCCACGTGGTGTAGGGAACCCGCTGCACATGGGAAGATGAGCGCCAAGGTCCAAGACCAGCTGCACGACGTCCAGGAGGTCCACGCCTCCTCGGGCGCGTTCGCGGCCATCCGCGCGGACGGCCGGGTGGTGACCTGGGGCCATCCCCTCAGCGGGGGCGACAGCCGCGCCGTGAGGCAGCTGCTGAGCTGACGACTTCAGACGACGTCTGGGGGGGGCTCTGGAAATTGGAACGCAGACGTGGGCCGGTGGGTTGCTGCAAAAGGGCTCCCGAAAAACGATATGAAAGGACATGTGTGTTGAAAAGGAGAGAAGAGCAGGCCAAGATGAAAGCAATCCTGTTGAAAGGTCTGCTTCCGATTTCGAGAAACACCCCAGTGTGCCTTCTGCTCTTTTTCCGCGGGAAGGGCCAAGGCAATAGGCAGCCTGCGCCGGTTGCAAAGTTGTGAATACCAAGTCTTTTGCCAGTTCGAGCTCCCAAGGCGGGTCAGGCAGTGAGATGGTCCGCAATGCGAATGATTGTTCATGTTTGACCCCTGTTTCTCGGCATTGTGGAGTATTGAAATCACAATGCCACATACATAGCCCTCATGGTGTGTCTATGCTAAAGGTCATGCATTTCTGGAGCCAGAGCTCAGATGGAGCTGGCAAGCCAAAAAGCGGCGGCTGGTTGAAAACGACGAGCCCCGGAAATTGGCGCGAAAACGGCACAAGGTGCCAGCGGGATTTGTTTCGTCCGTTTCGGGTCCTGGAACACCGGCACCGGTGTGGCGGAACCAGAAAGCGCCACCAGCGCGGTGTTACCCAAAGTGGCCGTCCGCGCGAGGAGAACGCGCCTCGATGCCACTCGGGCCAAGATTCAGCTGGCCACAGGTAGCTGGTATCCATGATTCTCTTCATTCGTTTTGTTCTTGTCATACATGTGTGGCTGCAGAAGCGTTACTCTTCGATTTCAGGCATTTTGTTTGACACCCAAGCCAACCTGAATGCGTGACTTCAGCCTGTTTCTGGCAGGTATGGCGAGGTGGTGGAAGCCGATGTGAAGAGGGAGCGGCCGGTTTTCTGCCAGAGCTTCTGCCTAGATGCACCTTGTGCCATTTTTACGCCAGGTTTAGATTAATTAGTTGATCGATTTAGGATGGTTTACGCATCTGGCTAGGTCTCAACAGAAGCGGCCCCCCCTTTGTGCATCCGAAAGCAGAGCCGAAAGGAAACAGTCGCCATACACGGTGGTGTCTGGGATGAGTCTGAAACCCAGTGAAACCACTCCTTCAGCAGGGACAACTTGCATGCTTTCATCAACGGTTGCTTCGCAAACTAGCTTCAATGTCCATGGCTTGTTTTCCAATCTTCCAAAAGCGGTACGCAGCATTCAGATTCAGATGCGATATTTTTGCTCCTGCACACTCCTTCATGGGGGTTGCTTCACTTCAGGACAATCATTGAATCCGAGCTTGCAAGACGCAAGAGACGTGCATTTTGAGCCAATTGCAAGCCGCTTGGAAAGTTCCTTAAATACATGCAAGCCGAGCCGTTGTTGGGTTTTATTCATCATCATCATCGTCATCGTCATCCTCGTCGTCATCGTCATCGTCATCCTCATCATCATCATCATCATCATCATCATCATCATCATCATCATCATCATCATCATCATCATCATCATCATCATCATCATCATCATCATCATCATCATCATCATCATCATCATCATCATCATATCATCATCATCATCATCATCATCATCATCATCATCATCATCATCATCATCATCATCATCGTCATCGTCATCGTCATCGTCATCGTCATCGTCATCATCGTCATCATCGTCATCGTCATCGTCAACTTCTTTTCTTTTCCTAAGAACATTTGGACATCTGGCTTTGTGGGCCGACTCATAGGACACCCAATGCGCGTGGTGGGCCATTTGATGCCGAGGGCGCCCAAAAAGAAACGTTACGTGCCACTTGCGGAGGACGGCCAGACGGGCCGCTCAAAGGGCTTTGGTTTCATCACCTTCGCGGAGGAGTGCCTTGCCACAAGCTGCGGTTTTGGGCAGGGAAAGAGCAGCCCGAAGATGATAGATGCCCAGTCAAGGGTGAAAGAAGTTGTGCTTTTTGCCTGTGAGCGTGATCAGATAGTTGTGAGATTCCATCGTGGGCAATTGCTTTGGCGACCTGTCGATGACTTTCAAATGGATTTCTTGTTAACACAGAAAGTTGCCGAAGCCCAATGTTTTCGGAATTCTGCTTGCCGATGCCACCCGGACTTGCAACTCGGTCGGGTTGTTCACCTCAGAAAGATGACCTTCCCTGCAAATACAAAAGTAGTCCCCAAACAAAAATTCGTCAAAGACTAGTTGTTCATGTTTGTTGTTTTTCAAGCAGGCCGCATGGAAGCGACCCTTGAAGGGTCCCGTTCAGAGCAGATTTGTGTGCTCGGCTTGCGGTAGGGCGGCTGTTTTTCTTTGTAGCCGTTGACATGTTCTGAGAGTTGCCATGAACCTGCACCAAGTTGTTGGGGCGGTTTGTTGCTTCATGGACATTCTGGCAGTGGGAAGTTGGTCCCAACGAGGATGGCTGAGTGGTAATCACAAGTTCTTGCCGCCATTCCTACACAAACACACTGTATGATCGGTGCCAGTGTGCTGCAGAGCCGCAGATGTCAAGTTACCCAAGCCTACAGGACATCAAGGGAGTTTGGCCGAGAGCCGTTCAGCTGGGCTCAATTGCATTGTTTCTCGGTTGCCATAATTCCTTTCAGAGAAGTCAAAACAAAAAAACACAAACAAGCACTTCCAAGTGGTTTGGTCTCAAAATGGGTTATGGAACCTTTGACACGTGCAGTTTAAAGTTAGGTTCGCTTCCAAACGCAGGCCCCAGAAAGGGTACCTTGGGGTGTCAATATCCTTCCTCGATCGGAAGGGCGAAGACTGACTCAAGCTCAAAGGAACCGAACCGAACCGCCAATCTCCGCATTTTCCGGGTTGCTAAACAAGTTGCAACAAGGGAGACGGCCAACCTCAAAGTGAATCAACCAAATTTGTCCGGTTCACATGGGTTTCCCGGATGGGATCCTGAAAGCTTCGAAAGTAGACCAAAAGGAAAGCCCACCTTTCGTGGGTCTCTTCCTCATTTGGGTGTAGCTCTTGCTAGGGCCCCAACCCAACCCCCCCAGCCCCCCGCCCCAAAAAAAGAAGTATGGAAAATTGTGGTTTTCCTTTTGGTTTCTCTTTAAAACCCACAAACAAGAGGTACCCACAAACAAAGCCACCCATTCGGAGACGTTCAGCTGACCGAGGGCATGCGCTGAGAGCTGCCTCACGGATCCCAAGGACGAAGCTGAAATCCGGGAATCCGGGAATCGCCTGGGAAACGGTGTCCTTAGGTCAGGGGGCGTCCTGAAGTGGTTTCTTCTTTCTTTTGAGGGGTGTTGGGGGAGACCCTTGTGGGGGGACCCTTCTTGGGTGTTTGGGGAGACCCTTCTTGGGGGTTGGTTTGAAGGTGAAGCCTAAGGAAAGCCGCTGAGTATGGGGTCCCCTTTTTGTTTTGACCAGCGCTGGTTTCGCGGCTCTAATCACAGTGCCGCCGAGTTGTTTTTCCAAGAATTTAAGGATACCATGTTTCGGGTCGATTTAATTGGATCCAAATGGAAGCCGCCCATCTGGACTCAACCATTCTATTGGATTAGCCTTGAGCATGCGTTGAGGTTTACTTCCTGAGACACCTGCTGATGTGTGCATTTGTATGCCAGATCTTACTGTTGTTGGCAGTTGGACACACGAGTTTGGGCCAGTCCACTAGCGATTCTAGATCCTTTCATAATGATCCTGAAATGATTGTTGCATTCACAGAATATAAGCCTGGATATTTCCACCACTCCGATACATCCGTTAGTTGCAAGTAAGTGTGTGTGTGTGCCATGTGTGTGTGTGTGTTGTGTATGTGTTCATGTGTTTGGTTATATTCTCGTGAGTTTCATCGCATGCTTGTTTGTTGTCTGTTGGATAGGCCATTTGGTTGCTTGGTTGATGTGACTTAGTTGGTTGTGCTTGCTGCCCAGATAGCTGAAAGCTATAGGGGTTCTAACTTCTGGTAAAGAGGAGAAAGTGTTTTGCGAGATTGATGGCTGGGTGCTAGGGAGCATGCAGTGTTTGGGGTGCTGGTGCATGTGTTGTTTTGGGGTGGTGGCGGCGGTGTGGGCGCATTTTTGCGAGATTGACGGCAGCGTGCTGGCGACGGCGCCGTTTTTGTGCGAGATTGGCAGCCGGGTGCTAGGGGGCATGCAGTTTGGGGCCAGTTTGGGGTCCTGGTGCAGGTGCTGTGGTGCTGGTGTCGGCACGGGGGCATTTTTGCGAGATTGATGGGCAGGGTGCTGGGGGCATGCAGTTTCAGGTGCTGGTGCAGGTGCTGTTTGCTGATGACGCTGTGAGCGCATTTTTGCGGATTGGCGGCTGGGTGCTCGGGGGTTGCTGTTCGGGGGGTGTTCTTGAATGCTAGTGACGGCGCAGGCTCGTTTTTGCGAGATTGACGGTAGGGCAGGGGGCATGCAGTGTAGGATGCTGGTGCAGGTGCAGTTTTTAGCTATCTGGGATGCTGGTGTATTTTGTTTGTTTTCTTGCATGCGTGTTGTCTTGTTTGCTTGCTTGCGGCCTGTTTGCTAAGTAGCTACTATAATTAAATAGCTACTTTCTTGTGGAACTAATAGTTCGCAATTGTTTGCTTAGTTGTTGGGTTGCGTGTTGCTCCGTGTTTTTGTTGTTTGCGAGGTGTTTTTTTGTTTGTTTGTTTGTTTGTTTGTTTGTTTGTTTGTTTGTTTGTTTGTTTGTTTGTTTGTTTGTTTGTTTGTTTGTGTTTTGGTTGGTTGGTTGGTTGTTTGTTTGCTTGCTTGCTTGTTTGTTTGTTTTGTTGGTCGAGTGCCTGGCCCTGGTTGGCTGGTTGGCTGTTTCGTCGGTTCGTTGCTTGGCTTGATGTGCTCTTTGTGAGGTTTGCTTGTGTTTATTTGGTTTGTGTCTTTGTTGGCTTTGTTTGGTTTGCGTTGCTTGATTTCTTTGGGTTTGTTCCTATATGTTGTTCTTTGTGTTTGCTTGTCTTTTTTGCTTGCTTTCTTGCTTTCTTGCTTTCTTGCTTGTTTACGTGCCTGCTTATATGTTGTGTTCGGGGCATTCACCTCCTCTTCACCCATCAGTATTCAGGTGGGTCTGGGTGCTGCCTGGTTTGTTGCAGCGGGGGGGCGCTGCGGACACGCATAGCATCATTTGACTAGCCTGAATGGGAGAGCAGGTGGATCAAGTCGCTCACTCGCGCGCTCACCCACTCACTCACTCACTTAGTCACTCAGTCACTCAGTTACTCAGTCGTTTACTCATTCATGCGGTCATTCCTTCATTCCTGCATTCATGTATTCTCTTGTTGACTCACAGACTTGCTCACTTATTCATGTGTTTGCTTATTCACCCGCTCATACATACATGCATAACATGCCATGCCCTGCCCTACTGTGCCATACATTACTACACTTTGCCATGCCGTACCATCTCACAACATACCAAACGAGACATGCATGCCTCCATACACACATACACACATGCATACTTACACAGTATTCGGAATGATTGGTTTCAAGGCTCTGTTTTATGTTGCTTGGTTTGCTTTGGACAAACACTGTCCTACAGAGTGCAATAGGAATAGTCACCTCGTTTTGCCCCAAGACGGAGCATGGCTGAAACTTGCACAGCGCCTATGGGGCGCGTTGGCAACAAGCCACGAGTCACCCCAATCGAAAAGCCGACTTCAAGGAAAGGCTTGGGATGCCCTTGCGAGTTTCCCCCCTGTGGCATTTGTTTCAGGGTGGATCCACTTGTACATCCGAAGCAATCCTTGGAAGACTGACCACAGATCTGTAAGACGGCCTCAGGAGCATAATTTGGATGGCAAGCGGATAGATGTGAAGCGCTACGGCGTCAGCGGCGGAGACGGCTCGTATTGAGCTGCGGGCGGGTTGAGATCATTGGCTAAGGATGAAAGGATTGTCTAAGCACACATCACCTGACATTGAGCTGAAGGATATGCAGATGCCAGCGTTCGGGTTCACAGGGCCGCAAGTATGAGGTGGGCAGTGAGTGGTGCTAGGCAAAGATTCAGGATTTGACGAGGCTGATGGGGCGCCATTCTGAATATGCCTTTCCTGCTTTGTGCCAAGTCAGATGCGATGATTCATGAAGGTCCAAAAGTTCAGCAGAAAACATGGGCGATAGCGTAATAAAGGCTTCACATGCAGATTCCATGAACACACACACACACAGCCCATGTTTCCTATGTTTGCCGGTTTCGGAAGGGGGGGACCCGGACATGGTCCCCAAAACAACCCTATTAGTCCCTAATAGACCCTAGTCACTTTTAGCCCCTATTGGGATTGGGGGGGCTTTTGCTCAAAGGCCCTCCAGCAAACCACAGGCATGTTGTGTAGCTTGAGATATGTTCCTTTTGGGCCGGAATCCCAAAGCAAAACCAGCGCCCTTCTGACCCATGCCGGGTCATAAAGCCGGGCAGAGATCCCCGCCAGAACGAAGACAAGACGCGGGCCCCAGCTTCGCTCCCCCGAGCCGGGACCTCGGTCGGCACCTGAAAAGCACTGAGGGCCGAAATCCGCTTCTCGCACCACCCAAGAAGCCCTATGGTCTGATTCCCAACGTACATACCAAGAAACAGTGGTTTCAACCATGGTTTCTTGGGTGCGAAATGGATTTCGCAACCATCCACAGTATCTTGGGGGGTTGTTCTGGTTTGGAATCAGAACAGGAAGGTTCAGTTAGAAAAAACAGCTTGGAGCCAGACTTGTCTGAAACCGAATTCTCTGAAACAAGAATGTTTTAGTTTGAAGCAGCCCATGAGTCGAGGTATTCCTGAGGGTGTGATCCTAGGATTCTATATACAAACCCTTGGAACGCCTTGGTTTTTGTCGGGCAGTAGCTGCCTGGAGCACATTCTTGTAAAGAAAGCGGTGTCCAAGTCTCCATCCGGTTCTGTACGGGACGGTCTGTGGAGAGAGGTGTCGACTTCTCAAGCGGTGATGCCCCCTGTCTGCCCTGTTTCTTGGGAGGCATGATTGTGGTACAGCCCAGTCCGATGGAGAATATAGGGTATGCCCGTGCGCGAAAATGCGCCAAGATCACAGCTCTATGCTGAAAGGTGGTCAGAAACCATGCAGGGTTCTGGAGCTTGAGCTGTGGCAACGTCTCAGCATCAGCCACGTTGGCAACAGGAGTGAGAACGGCACCTGCATGTTCGGCCTTCAATACAATGAATGTGGACACATGGTGTGCGGGCTGTGCTGCTTTGTGACAGTTTCCTGCTGATCGCTCTTTGTATGTAACACCAGAGATGTGCGGAAGATGCTGAATGATAGGAGATGTCGAGCAGGTCAACAGCAAAAGCAGGCAACACCAAAAGTGGTGGATTGACACGAGACTCGAGAAGAAGCGGGTATGGGAGCGATTATGTTCAGGCCTTTGGAGGAGTTCTGATAGCCAACTTGTGCTGGTGTGAACTCGGATGAAGTATCATGCGTGCCTGTTGGAGAACGGCGGCGCATAAACTATCAGTCAGCCAACAAAGATGCCCTTTCAATCACCAAGAGCGTCAGAGTTTTGCCACTTCGCGTACCCGATCGTTGCGATGCGAAGGTTTCGTGCTTTGAAGTGCTGCACAGAGACTTGCGCTCGGAGGGTAGGAGGGTCCTACAGTGTCATAGATTTTCCTGCGATCAAACCTTTGACTTTAAAGATGAACAGCGGATGGTGCTGAAACACGTTGAATCTCATGCCAAGGTCGCAGGCCGCACGAGGAGAGGATCAGGCGGGATCGGGTTTTTGCGGCTCCAAGCTCCGCTTGTGAGAAGAGAACATTCAAAAATGAAACACAAAGGCACAAGCCATCGCGCTCATGTGGGATATTTGCAAGATACCTTAGTTGAGCTATCACCTTGATTGTTTGATGGTTGCGAAAATTTCGAGCTGCAGCTGCCAAGTGTACTTCGTGTATTCTGGAACTGCCAATGTGGGCTTCGTGTACTACACTTGTATACAGCTTAGGGTTAGGATTTTCAAGCTGAAGCGGTCGAAGTGTACTTTGCGCGCTACACTTGTGCTGGAGCTTGTGAAAGGTTGACTGTCTGCAAAAAAACTCCGCACGATGAGAAAGGGGATAGTAAACAATCTTTTTTGTGGGGCAAGCGAAAAGACAGGGGGCTTGATACAGCCCCAGCTCTCGTTTTTTCTGAAGGCCTGTCTGGTGTCGCCAATGACGATGCCTTGGGGTACTAATTCAAAACTTCAAAGACTCAGGGTGAATCAAAGAAATCAAGGCAATCTGCTGCGAGGGAACTTAACAAGACATGTCTTTCCAGACTTTCCAGGACGCTTTGTCGGCGGCCTTGAGAATCACGTGTTTTTTGGTATGCATGGACCTGGGGGGTCAGACATGGATTTGTATGTGTGCCCTTATGATCCATGTGTTTTTGTTGGAGAACCTTTCTTTTGGTTGGCATCAAATTAAGAAACCTCAAGGGCCCAACTATTTTGAGCCAACTGATTGGTTGACTGGCACTGAAAGACGTTATTGATTTGCATTGATCACGTATATCTAGATTGGCCAATATCAAAACGATCAAATATGGCCATTAATTGAAATAGGGAACCCCCTCGAAAGTGGTTGATGGACATAAAACCCCACCCAAATGATGTCCACCGGAGGGTCCCGAATAAAAATGAAGGCCCAAATTTCAATATCAACCGCTGTTGATTTGCATCTTCGTTTTGACAAGGCACAAGGAACCAGACACACATTTCTCGGCAGGGGGCCTCCGGAGCCTGCTCCCGGGCCCTTCGGCCCCGGGCCCAAATGGGCAGCTCGTGTTGTTTCTCGGGTAAAGGGGGATGGGTTTTCGAGGGAAAGCAATGGGAGCACCACCCTTTTGGGGGGGTCCGATCCCTCCAGAAAGGACCGCCGGGTGTTTTTTTGAGAGGCTACCCATGTTCGTTCTTGGCAATCTGTCTTGACGCGAAACGCTCCAAAGTTGGCGGTTTGCCTTCAATAGTTTCCTTTTATCAAGAGCCCCAAAAAGGGTACCCTTCCACCAACTAACATGAAAGTGCAAAAAGGCCCTTTCCAAAAGGAAAGTAGTCTTTCTACAGGGGTCTGTGCACGTCCATGTTAGCTGGTGGGAGGGTATGCCCAAAAGCCACACCCAAGTTTGGCAATGGCTTTGCAAGTTGAGACGCGTGTTTGGCGAAGTGATTTCAAGGCTTCATGACCTGAGCCCATGGATATGCCGCAGATTTCGTTCGAAGCGCTCATCAGAGCCTGATCTTGGTTTGCTCCACCAGTCTGGCATGATTCATTAGAGGCTTCAGAATTCCATTAATAAAATTGCAAAGATGCCAAATGGAGCCTGCGACCCAGAGACGACATCAGAATCAGAAGGAGTCCTTTCTTTTTTTGAGTCTATCCGGCAATCTACCCAAAACCAAAGCGGTTGTTGAAGAGTCATTCCCACGTTGTTTGCAAAGAACAAGCAGTATTCACCAGCATGGCAGATGTGCACGTGTCAAAACAGCAGCAGTATTTTCACACTGGCGGCAACCCAAGTGCAAAGAGCACACAAACACACACAGCACAAATTCAGCAGCGACAGTACAATGTGGCATTAGATCCTGTGGACTTCTTGGAAACAATCTCCAACCCTGCCTGCTCCGAAGCTCAAAAGTGTGACAAAACCAGGTAGCACATGGGTATTGTGTGTTTTTGTGGTCCTTTTCTGGGAACTGGGAATCAATGGTATGCGCTTGGTGGTTGGGTGTTCGGAGCCCACCCAAGCAACCCGACCGCGCCCCACTCGAGGCCGCGGCTACGGGGGTGGCGGTCCCGGATGGTTGAGGAGCCACTGGCTGAAGATGGGCCTTCAAAACCAAAATCACAACTTGCTGCTAAGCAGAAGCACCAAGAATTCTACAACATACTACCATCGGAGTGCTGTTCCCAAAGATTCAAAATTGAATTGTTACAGGGCAGAGGCACTTTGCCCAATCGTGTCGTCCAGGCATCCAAGCACGAGCTGGCATCTGTCTTGTGGCAAGCAACGCCCAAGTCAAGGTAAGGTCCTCCCACCAATTAACAGCCGGAACCTGACATTTGGCACCAGGTCCCCTTAAAAAGAAAATGGTCCAAACCAGGACCCGGACGTAAGGTTCCATGTGAAAAAGATGGGAGGATCCCTAGTCCCTTTCAAAGGGGGGGTTCGACAGCTCGGTTCAGGTCCCAGTGCGGGTTTCCCGCCAGAGCGGCGGCCAGAGGTCGGGGGGGGGGGGGCCTTCCCCATTCTTTCCAGGGATCCGGATCTTTCTAGAAAACCTCCGGAAACCCAGAGACAGAAAAAAAAACAGATCCGATTTTTGGGAAGAACGATGGTTGAAGAGAGTGGGAAATCAACCCCTAGAGTTATGGCTTCAATGGGTCCGATTTTTGTCCATGGTCCGCTGAATTCGGGTTGAGCCAAGGGTTTGACCGGGTTCAGTTTGGCGATCTGAAGATTTGTCAGTGGCTCAAAAACCGGTACCCAAAATGGAACCCTGGTAAGTGGAAACATGGACCAAAAGCTGCGGTTTGCCCCTCCTGTTTAATTTTGAGCCACACCCATTTGTCAGTGGAACCCAGGGCTTCCAGACGGGCTCGGGCGCTAGGGTGGGAGCCGCAAAGCGCTTGCAGACATCAAGTGGCGGTGAGCTCAGTTCTGAGCGCGGGACTCTGTTGGGATCCCATTTCTCCTTTCCAGACGAAACACCTCCAGATAGGTGGTTTTCCCTTTGAATTCCATCCAACAAGGGGTCACCAATTTGACAGCCCCCCCATAGTTTGGGCGAATCGAGTTGCATGCGGAGGTTCGGTGGCCTTGCTGAAGCGGTGTCGAGCTCAGCCTGCCTGGTTTACGCCTGTGGATATCTCTCTCAGAACCAGGGGCCCCATTTTTCGATGACGGTTTTGTTCAGGAAAGCGGCACGCCCAGTATTTGTTGGACCCACGATGTAGCACGTGTCCTATGCGATGCCCTGTGAGCCAGCGCTGGTGTCGAATGTGAAGATGGCCATGGGGATTCGAGGCCTTGGATTCGCCAGTTGCACCTTAGGTGCCAGCCCAATACCTGGATCTGGACTACTGCATCACGCGCTGGTGCCCAGCAATCCGACCGCAAGCCCAATTTGAGCCCAATGTTGTTCCCGGGCAAGCGGGGAGTGGCCAGACGGAGCTAGGACCCTGCGGCCCAAACGCGGAGCATGGGCGAAGCCCATGAGCCAAGTGAAACTGGCAGGGAGGGTTGCCAAGGGCTGCAGCTGCCTCAACTTATCTCGAATCTATCGTGAACGATCGCTTTTGACTAAATCAGTGTGTATGATACGCAATTTTGGAGCCATGTGAGTTGCATCCCTGGACCTCCACCCTGTCGCCGCGCCTAAAGACGGCTCCTTTTTCAAGATTCGGACGGGTCCAAAACTTGGAGCCCTTTCATTGCTCCAACCCCTTCGGATGAACGGCAAGGTGCAGCCTGCCCAGTGCGCAGTGCGGCGCCCTCATCGGGCGCCGCGGGGAAAACATCAACGAGGCGGGCGGCGTTTCAGGGCGTCAAACGACGGCACATTGAGGACCTTTGGAGCTTTAGGTGGGGAGAGGGCCATCGGATGGCCGGTGAAATTGCCTAGAGTTGAATTTCAAAATCCAACCCCCGAGACGTAGCTGAGTTGGCTAGCACTTGGCGGGCGAAACAAGGAAGGGAACGGCCTGATGCTGACTTGTCATGGTTTGCCAAAGGACGTTTTTTTGTGCGGGCTCGGGGTTGGGAAAGCGACTCGGGGAATCAACTTACTTTCGAGGGAAGGGGTCGTGAGATACAAGGCAGGTCACTTTTGGCCTCCCAGCCGTTTCAGGTGGAAAGAAAGACTGGGGCAAAGGTGCAGCTCAGCAAGAAGGAGCAGGACGGGAACTTCAGAACCGCTTTCTGCCTCCAGAGTTGACGGACTGGACTTTACCTAGAGGTCCCTTTTGGGAAAAGTCAAATCACCCCCCTTGGTTCAAGTCGTTGGGTTCACCAAAGCAAGCAATATCTCTCGGACATGGGTACTTGTCGCAGTCAGCAACAGCACAATTAGAAGCTGCATAATTGTGGTTGCAGCAACGGATGACGTTGCACCACAAACCAAGGAACATAAATATATATATATATATATCGCTAGATTGAAAAAAACAGATTGGTCTTCCAACAACTTAATGGTTTTTCTTTAATTTAAATACATGTGATGAGGACACCTTTCCAGAGTTATTGGAATTGGTTGGAGTTATTGGAGGCTTGGCAAGCTGCTCAGCGCCCCGAGTCAGGATCGTCGTAACTTGTTTCCCTTCACCTGATCTTATGGTTGTGGTAAAGCCTACATGGGTGTGTCTTGCTTAGGGGATGCCCGGAATAGTGGTGTTCCTGAGGGTGTCCCTTTCAAACCATAAGCAACAAGGTGCGGGGTAATCCAAGCCACAAAAAGTGACAGCCTTTACGCGGTTCCTTTAAAGGGGAGACATCCATAGTCGGCCTTGGCGTTGCCGGCTTCGCCTTCCAGAACACCGACCACCGCACCCTGTCAGTCACCGGCCCCTTGATCGCTGCAGGGCGCTGAGCGACCAGATTGCGGGAACGGGGGCGGGGTTCAAACAAAGGGTATTTGACAGTGCCTTAATATTTTTGTGGGGCCGCAAAATGTTGCAACCTTGCAGATTGGTGGGTGGGTGTGGCAAAAAACGGATTCGTCAATGGTCTTCGTGTGTGTTTTGCTTCTTGGGTTCTGTCAATCTTTAGGATCATAACATCCTGGCTGAGTCAGGCAAGGCGGATGGAAGGCCAGTAAAGGGCACATGTAGCTTTTGTTTTTTCCGGGAGCATGCAACAAGCGCAGCAACTTCTTACCTTTCCTGTTGGCTTCTCAGGTCTATGCAGCACATCTTCTGCTTATGCGGGACTACAACGAAGCTTTGCAGGCGCCGCTCGTTTTGCACCGCGTTTTCTTCGTGTTTGGCAAGGGAAGCCTTTGGGATGTGCAGGTGCCAGAAGTACGGCCGAGCCCGGTTGCCGCTGAGTCGAAGATCCAGGACGTGAGTCACCAATGCTCAGACCGGAGACCGGGCGCGTTGAGACAATTCTGGCAGGAGTTGCAGAAGGAGATCGGCAGGTTGAAGCAGCAGATGGGTGGAGGCAGCAAGCGGGTTTGTTTGGTTGGTGCGTATCATTGAAACACCGCGTATGGCAGGTGCCTATCGCTGAACGGAAATTGCTAATGGCAAAACCATATATTGTATAATATATTAAATGATTATATTATATTATATGAAATTCTTATATATTTGGATTTATTAGATTTTGTTAAATAATATTTATAAAACAATTAAGGAAATAAATTATTAAACATAAACATATTAAAATATATTTGAATTTATTATAAATAAATATTATATTATTTATATTGTTATAATATATATAATATATAATTATTGTATATTATAGATTTAAGTAATATATATATTTTTTATTTTTAAAGATTTTAATATATATATATATTTTAGAATTTATTATTATTTTTGTAATTAATATATATTATTAATATTAGATATATATATATATATTAATAATAATAATAATTTTTATATTATTTAATGAATATATTTATATATTTATTAACTTATTTATTTTATTTTTTTAAAATAAAAGGATTTTGGGAATTTACAAGGAAATTAGCTTGGGTATGTGGATTTTGTTGTTTTTGGCTTAAGGATTCGAAGGTAAACCAAGATTTAAGTAGATAAAGAAGGGGAATAACCGCGATGCAAGCCGGATTGGTAGTTAGTAGCTTGTATTTTGATTAAGCACGGAGAAAAGGGCAAAGGCATGGGTGAAATATGATAGGTCTCGTATTTTATGGAAGGCACGAAATTATCCGATTTATAATGAAGAACCAAACACATAAATCCGAAAATGGATTCGTACAAATTACCACTCCTAAATTGGAAGTAAGGCATAAGCTCGTTCTACACCCATCTGAAACAAGTCTGAGACATAATATTATAACACGATCTGGGTAGACCGGGGTCAGCTATTCGGATGTTTATACGTCCTTTTGTTTGGGCCGAATGTGCTTAGCATATTCACATTAACGTGCTTCCAGACTGCTGCTTCCAAATAAGTAGGACGAACCCTAAGAGGCCACAGATTCTGAAGAGAGGGTTCGTCGTAGAAATACATTGGCGCTATTTGTTCGGGTTAGGTGTGCGGCAAAAAGGATAATCTTGGCGCACCTGGAACGCCGGGCTGTTTATATGGAGCCGTGCACGTGGCCTTCACAAGCTTGCTTCGTAAGCTTGTTTGGATTTGTTAGTTTCTCCACCGATTTTCCCATTCGCAACCAATTGCAACTGGTGACTTTGTGGAAAGGGCCACGCACGTTGTCAATTGGACGCGTGTGGATGGTAAGTTGGGTGGATTCGCCGCAGGTGCGTGGAGACGGGGCCGGCGCTGCGCTTTGCGGGGGGCTCGGTGTGGAAAAGCCTCGGTCACTTGGTGGGTTTGATGCCTATCTGAAGCAAGTCTGAGACACAATGTTACCACGATCTGTGTAGACCGGGGTCAGCTGTTCGGATGTTCATGCGCTCTTTTGTTTGGGCCGAGTGCGCTTAGTATATTCATATCAATGTGCTTCTTGATTGTTTCCAAATAAGTAGGACGATCCCCAAGAGGCTACAGACTCTGAAAAGAGGGTTCGTCGTAGAAATACATTGGCTATTTGTTCGGGTCAGGTGTGCGGCAAAAAGGATAATCTTGGCGCACCTGGAACGCCGGGCTATTCATATGGAGCCGTGCACGTGGCTTTTACAGACTTGCTTCGTAAGCTTACTTGGATTTGTTAGTTTCTCCACCGATTTTCCCGTTCGCAACCAATTGCAACTGGTGATTTTGTGGAAAGGGCCATGCACGTTGTTAATTGGACGTGTGGACTTTAAGTTGGGTGGATTCGCCGCAGGTGTGTGGAAACGGGGCCGGCGCTGCGCTTTGCGGGGGGCTCGGTGTGGAAAAGCCTCGGTCATTTGGTGGGTCTGATGCTTGTCTGAAACAAGTCTGAGACATAGTGTTACCACGATCTGCGTAGACCGGGGTCAGCTATTCGGATGTTTATACGTCCTTTTGTTTGGGCCGAATGTGCTTAGCATATTCACATTAACGTGCTTCCAGACTGCTGCTTCCAAATAAGTAGGACGAACCCTAAGAGGCCACAGATTCTGAAGAGAGGGTTCGTCGTAGAAATACATTGGCGCTATTTGTTCGGGTTAGGTGTGCGGCAAAAAGGATAATCTTGGCGCACCTGGAACGCCGGGCTGTTTATATGGAGCCGTGCACGTGGCCTTCACAAGCTTGCTTCGTAAGCTTGTTTGGATTTGTTAGTTTCTCCACCGATTTTCCCATTCGCAACCAATTGCAACTGGTGACTTTGTGGAAAGGGCCACGCACGTTGTCAATTGGACGCGTGTGGATGGTAAGTTGGGTGGATTCGCCGCAGGTGTGTGGAGACGGGGCCGGCGCTGCGCTTTGCGGGGGGCTCGGTGTGGAAAAGCCTCGGTCTCTTGGTGGGTTTGATGCCTATCTGAAGCAAGTCTGAGACACAATGTTACCACGATCTGTGTAGACCGGGGTCAGCTGTTCGGATGTTCATGCGCTCTTTTGTTTGGGCCGAGTGCGCTTAGTATATTCATATCAATGTGCTTCTTGATTGTTTCCAAATAAGTAGGACGATCCCCAAGAGGCTACAGACTCTGAAAAGAGGGTTCGTCGTAGAAATACATTGGCTATTTGTTCGGGTCAGGTGTGCGGCAAAAAGGATAATCTTGGCGCACCTGGAACGCCGGGCTATTCATATGGAGCCGTGCACGTGGCTTTTACAGACTTGCTTCGTAAGCTTACTTGGATTTGTTAGTTTCTCCACCGATTTTCCCGTTCGCAACCAATTGCAACTGGTGATTTTGTGGAAAGGGCCATGCACGTTGTTAATTGGACGTGTGGACTTTAAGTTGGGTGGATTCGCCGCAGGTGTGTGGAAACGGGGCCGGCGCTGCGCTTTGCGGGGGGCTCGGTGTGGAAAAGCCTCGGTCATTTGGTGGGTCTGATGCTTGTTTGAAACAAGTCTGAGACACAGTGTTACCACGATCTGCGTAGACCGGGGTCAGCTATTCGGATGTTCATGCGCTCTTTTGTTTGGGCCGAGTGTGCTTAGCATATTTATGTCAATATGTTTCTAGGCTGCTTCCAAATAAGTAAGGCGAACCCCAAGAGGCTACAATTTCTGAAGAGAGGGTTCGTCCTAAAAACACATTGGGACCATTTGTTCGGGTTAGGTGTGCGGCAAAAAGGACAATTATGGCGTACCCGGAGAGCCGGGCTGTTCGCATGTAGCGGTTGTTGCATGTCATGAGCGTCCACCGCGCCGGTCTCGCTCGCCGGCATGTCACGAGCGTCCGCCGCGCTAGTCTCGCTCGTGGGCGGTTTCCGCATGTTACGAGCGTCCACCGCGCTAGTCGCTCGCGGGCGGTTTCCGTATGTCACGAGCGTCCATCGCGCCAGTCTCACTCGCGGGCGGTTGCCGCATGTCACGAACGTCCACCGCGCCAGTCTTGCTCGCGGGCGGTTTCCGCATGTCACGAGCGTCCACCGCGCCAATCTCGCTCGCGAACGCTTTCCGCATGTCACGAGCGTCCACCGTGCCAATCTCGCTCGCGGGCGGTTTCCGCATGTCACGAGCGTCCACCGCGCCAGTCTCGCTCGCGGGCGGCTGCCGCATGTCACGAGCGTCCACCGCCACAGGCGATTTCTGCATGTCACGAGCGTCCACCGCGCTAGTCTCGTTCGCGAACGGTTTTCGCATGTCACGAACGTCCACCGTGCCAGTCTCGCTCGCGTGCGGTTTCCGCCTGTCACGAGCGTCCACCGCGCCAGTCTCGCTCGCGGGCGGTTTCCGTCTGTCATAAACGTCCGCCGCGCCAGTCTCGCTCGGGGGCGGCTTTCGCGTGTCATGAGCGTCGACCGCGCCAGTCTCGCTTATTCCAATATTTTGTTTAAACATACGAGAAGATAGAGAATGCACGAAATCGTGGTAGGGTGCAGGAAGTCACTATCGAGGATATGCGAGAGGTACCTCTGCCGCAACGCCTATTCGGCACGGTTTTGGGAGTCTCGGGATGGGATTGGGACGGGATCGGGACGGGGTCGCATAGAAAACCCATTGTAATAACAATGCGGAGGTTTCGCAAAGTTAGAATTGCGTGGTAGGTGTAGCACTTTGGCGAGTCGAGGTAGATTTTGTGGTAAGCATGATATTTTCGCAAAGGCAAATATAGATTTCGTGATAGGTATGGCATTTCCATAGCGTTGGCACGGATGTATCGCAAATCCCATTGGTACGGGCGCATAAGGTGACGCATACAGATTTATTGGTAAACATAGCACTTTCGCAAGGTTAGGTACAGATTTCGTAATAGGCAAGACACTTTCGCATGGTCGAGTGAGATTTCGTGGCAGACATAACATTTTCGTCAGGTCAGGTATACACAATCCGTGCTTGACTTAACGAAAATATCGTGCTTGCCACGAAATCTGTGCCTAGCCTTACGCAAGTCTTTTTGCGATTTTTAAAAAACAAAAGGAATCGTATTTTCGATCGCGAAATATTGCATTTGCCACGAAATCTATATTTGACCTTGTGAAAATATCGTGCCCGCTACGAAATCTACACTTTTCGCAAGGTTAGGTACAGATTTCCTAATAAGCACGATATTTTCGTAAGGTCAAATACAAATTTCATAACAAATATAATATATCGTGATCGAAGGTATGATTCTACTCTTCCAATTATTGCTCCAATATCGCAAGATTAAATACAAAAAATATTCGAAGTGTATGCCTCTGCAAAAGTAGCACGAATTAAAGAAATGCGCTAAGCTATACGTCAGAATTGCCCCAGTCAACCCCCGCGTGCCGTTTCAAGCCGCGGAATTTCTTATGCGTATGCCGCGCACCCAAGAAGTCAGAATTCAATAGGGAACATTAGATGTGAGAAGCTGCCTTCTTTCCGAGTGCATGTCATTTCAGGCCGCGAGACGCTGCAGAATTTGTTTCAACACACATGCGGCTTGGAGATTTTGGGAACGAATATTTTTAATATGGCATATTTAATCAGCAAAACATCCTCGTTAAAATTAATAGTAATGCAAATTCTATAAATTTTATGCATTTTATTTTTT